AAGGGGCCCTTGAATAGGCACCGCAGAGGCCAAACACACTTTAAATTAAGCTTCCGATGCTTAGAAGGGGCCACGGCTTCCCACAAATCCCCTGGTGCACGGAGCTTTGAGGCAGAGTGTTCAGTCCGTTTGTTCTTTTAGAAGTGCGCCTTGGAAGCCAGGAGTTATTTGTTTCCGAAAGGTAGGCGCTCATCAGGTGGGTGGTCTTTGCATTTTTTGTGTGCTTTGATTCCCTCCCTTTTCTTTTCAGGACTATTGAGGGGTTTATTTTTCCCTCTCCCAGCAGTGCTCAGGGGTTTGGCTGCAATGTGCATCTGTGCTGGGTTTTCCCACAGGGCCCTGCAAAGGCAGCCCTCTTGCCTTCAGAAAGTCCCGGGCAGCCCGGGGGGGTAGCTGGATTTGCAGCTGTGCACCCCCTCCCTTCTGCAGTAGGCTTTGATCAGTTTTCGTGGGGGCTGCGTGCAGCCTGACCTCCCATCTCCAGCGTCTCTCAGGTGGAAAGTTCTGTTCAGCCTGTCTGTGGCTTCAAAGGCCCTCCCTCCTTCAGGCTGGGATGAGACTGATAATGGCTCTCATTTTGTTGTCTGATCTCCCAGCAGCCCACATCTTCCCATTGACAGGCTTTTGCTTATTTGGTTGGGCTGCTTTGGCCAAACTCAAACCACCTTTCTGGTTGAGGAAGCACATTGACGTCCTCTCCCATGGAGGCTCCTTTGATGGCTCAGACATGGCCTTCCAGCCCAAACAAAGGTGACCAGGCTGCAGCAGCCAGGCACCTGGCGAATCAGAGACTGGGCGTTGAGCAGGGCAGATGTCTCTCCGTGAGGGCAGAGAGCTGCGTGAGCCTGCAAGCCTGTGAAGAGGAACATTCGGCTCCGCCCTTTCTACCTTTGAAGACTGGGGCAGCCCAGTGCTTTCTGCTCTAGTTCCTTGCAGGAATCCAGCCGTGGTGGCCGATGTCACACATCACCCTATGCCTGTGCCCGAACCTGGACTGGACATAGGCAAGGCCAAAAGCCCTGATGTTGACATTTCCCAAGAACTTGAGCCATTGACTGTCTTCAGAAGTGGGCACCTGGCCAGCTGAGCTTGGGGAGTTCCTGGTCTGGCCCATTATTTCCAACAGTTGTGGCCTGACAGCCTTAGTTCTCAGGCCAAGGGGCTAACAACAGCAACCTCAGTTGCTCCAGGGCCTACTTCTGGCTCTGGCCCCAAAGTGCTGCTGACTCTGTGCGTGGGCCTTCCAGCCTCCACGATGTGTATAAAAGGACAGGGCTGCACATCCAAAGTAGCCGTCGGTGAGTTTGTGCAGGGGCTGCTGCCTCGCCAAAGGTTCACAGGGCCTCGGCCTCGGTGCGTCGCTCCCCATGATGTGGATGGGGTTAGGCTGCATGTTGCCCTTTGGTTTCCTCATATTTAAAATAAGGGTGGCCAAGGGCAACAGGAGCGGTCAGGAGAGCATCCTTCTTCCTCGGTCTGATAGCACAGTCTCTTCCTTCCTTTTGATCATACTCAAAACAACTTCAATAGAACAATAAGTCTGGGAGGAGCCAGAGGGGGATTTATTATGCTGTTGTGCTGTGGCAGAGCCTTGCCTGACTTTATCTTGCACTGAGGTCTGCATGGGAGGAAATCTGCAGGCCTGTGGACTGTCTCCCCGAAGCTGAACTCCCTCCAACCTGGAATCTGGGAGGGCAGAGGAGACGCTGCCATGTTGGCCACACCCCAGGGTGAACCATGGCAAAAGGGAGACCAACCCAGATCTCCCAAAAATCTGAAAACATGACTGTGAGAGGCACAGGGACCCTAAACAGTCAGAGCCCACCTGGGTTTAGCCCTGTAAGAGGAGACTCCAGAAACTGTGAGTTTGCCCCAGGACAGGCGCTCATGAGAGTTTTCTTAACAGCCGGTGTCCTCTCTTCCCATTCCAGCAGGAGAGGGAGTTGTGTTGGGAGGTGCCCTTTGTTTGTGGCAAAGCGGGGAAAGCTTAGCAGTGGACTGTCAGCTTCTCATACCAGAGAGATCATGTGGTAGGGGGTTCTCTTTTCCCAACAGGGCTGAGAGCCAAGAAAGGACCTCAGAGCCTTGGTGCTGAGAGAAAGTTGATTGGCCCCAGTTTTGACTTTATCTCCCCCTGAATGCAAATGTTTTGACATCCATCTGCTGTTAGCAGGATCCACCAGGTCATCTCAGCAACCTTCACCTCAATCGACCTCGTAACTCCAACCCTCACTGACAAAAAGAAACTCTAATGCCAGCGCTGCTAGTAAAATGCATACATAAATAAATACATCCTTTCTCATCCAGCAGCTGAGTGCTACAGGATGCTGGCCTGACCATCTCTGTGGGGCTAGAGCCTTTTGTAATAGTGTGGATCAAGCACAGGCAAACCTGGGGTCAAGGTCTGGTTCCACTAGCATTTGCCAAATGACCTTGAGCAGATTACATGATCTCCTAGAGCCTCAGTTTCCTCCTAATCTGTAAGAGGGCGATGAGTATAGCAACCACATCAGATTGTTTAGAGGATTAAATGAGATAATACATGTGACATACCTAGCACATGTTAAACATTCTATAGAGTGTGCTCATTATTATTGCCACCATATCAAATAGATGTGAGGATCTGATCGAACTTCCTTGGTCCTGAGTAGTGTCAAACCGTGAGCCCCGATCTCTGCCATGAGCAGTTAACGCATGAGGAATGCAAGAGGAAAGAGGCTCCGCAGTACAATGTTTAGCTCACCTCAGACCCTGGCAGCAAATCCAGGGGATGAATTCTGTTTTCTAGATGACCAGATTCTCTCTCTCCAGTCATTTCATCTCGCTGGGCAACCTCACTGCATTAGTTTTCTAGGGCTGCAGCAACAATCTGTCATAAACAGAGTGGCCTAAAACCACAGACATTTATTCTCTACAGTCCTAGTGGCCAGAAGCCCCACATCAAGATGTCTGCAGGGCCATGCTCCCTATGAAGGCTCTCGGGGAGACTTCTTCCTCGCCTCTTCCAGTTTCCGGTGACTCCAGGTGTTCCTGGGCTTGGGGCTGCTTAACTCCAGTCTCTGCCTCTCCATGGTCACACTGCCTCCTCCTCTTTGGGTCTTTCCCCCTCCGTGTCTCTCCAGGACCCTTGTCATTAGATTTAGGGCCCACCTGGGTAGTCCAGGATGATCTTATCTCAACATCCTTAATTAATTCTGCAAAGGCCCTTCATACAAATAAGGCCACATTTACACATTCTGGGTGTTGGGGCATGGACATAGATTTTTGGGAGCCACTATTCAACCTACTGCATCCACTAATCCTGCAAAATAGCTCATTTGATTATGATCTGGGGCTGGTGAGGGGCTCACTCCTCTCCATGGTAGTATCACTGGTTCTCTGCTTAGTCTCAAGGAGGGGTTATGAACTAACACCTTCAAAGAAAAGAAAAATCTAGCTCTTCAGTTTTTACTCATTGGCAGCAAGTGAAAACAAGTTCTTTCCACTTAGTGAAAAGCAGGCACCCACTACATCCAATGGGGGACTCAAATTCAAGCTGAGTCCCAGGGCTTCCTGTTCTCAGCTGGAGATGTTGGGATTTCAAAGCCCATTGTGCCCCTTAGGCTTATGAGTGCAAAAACTCACGTGTGATGAGCTCCCTTCTGGCAAAGTCCCACAGGAAGCATTCATTCTCTCAGGGCTCAAACCCTTCACCTTCTCCTCTTCTTGTCAACCTCCAGAGGCCCCAGACTCACTGAAAAGGGGGCACAACTCCTGTCTTGTCTCAAAGGCCTCCCCTGGCCTTGCTCTCTGACCCCTGTTGTCTGTTTCCTCCTTCAGCCCCTTATTCAACCATAAAGATCCATATCTAATAGGAAAGACATTTCCCAGGGGTTCCCAGTCCCCTGTCAGGAAGGGCTTTCCTCCAAAATTGCTGACAGTTACACTACCAGACTGCAAGGGAAGACAGATCCTAATACAGTGTGTTTTTTGTCCTTCCAATCAAATCATACTAATATATAAATTTAGTATAGGGCTCAGCTTCTTCCAGGTGGTTTTAAGAAAAAAGCCAGTGTTATGCCCTTTCCCTGTGATGAGTCTAATTGCATGGGGCTCAGGTAGTGGCCCTGCTTTACCCCTCAACAGCGTCTATGAATAACTTTGTGTTTGTAGGTTTCTTTTTAAAGGTGTTCCTCCTATTTCTGGCTCACAGATGTTGACGAGTAGCATGTGTAGAGTTCAGTCTGGGATTCTGAACACAAATCTGGGATTCTAACACTAGATCACATATTCACAGAGTCCCTCACCACTGGAACCTGGCTAGGGGTGGGAAAGTCACCATAACCCTACAGTCCTGTGGAAAGGGTAGAGCAGTGGGGACTAACTGGAAAGAAGTGAAAACAAGACAAAGTAGCCAGTGGAATTCCGGTCTGCCTCTTGCTTAGCTATGGAGAGCGCAGCAAGGTGATGGGTGATGTCCACTGCTCTCTGAACCATCCTTCAACTTATATGCTGAGGGCTCCATTTTCTCCCCTTTCTCTGCCTGCAGGTTTGTACAAAATTTGTGTCTTCACATGGAGACTATGAGTTTTGTGTGCATGGAACACAGCCCTCTTAGAAGGGTCTTGTGCCACTTTAAAACGTGACTCCCCAAAAATCTGACCTGTGCTCATACATTGCTGATGGAAATACAAAATGGTTCAGCCTTGTGGAGAATAGCATTGCAGTTCTTCAAAAAGTTAAACACAGAATCACCATATGACTAGTAAATCTGCTCCTAGGTACATACCTAAAAACATTGAAAACAGGTATTCAAATAAATACATGTGTACACAAGTTCATAGCAGCACAATATTCACAATAGTTGAAGGGCGGAACAGCCCAAATGACCACTGATGGATGAATGAATAAAATGCAGTATATCCTGATGGTGGAATATTATTCCGCCATAAAACGGAATGCATGTTACAACATGGAGGAGCCTTGAAAACATACTAGTGAAAGAGGCCAGACACAAAAGGTCACATACTATATGATTCTATTTATATGAAATATCCAGAAGAGGTAAATCCAGTGACAAGGCAGATTGGCAGGTTTTCAGGAGCTGGGAGGAGGGGGAAATGGGGAACATTTGCGTAATGGTTATGGGTCTTGCTTTTGGGGTGATGAAAACATTTGGGACTAGACAGAGCTGCTGGTTGCACATCATGATGAAATCTACTTGCCATGGAATTGTTTCCTTAAAAGTGGTTAATTTTGTCTTATATAAATTTCACCTCCACAAAAATGAAATGTTTTAAAAAGAGAGAGTTAAAAAAAAAAATACCTGTGTGTTCCACACACACAACCCAACCCCGGCTCTCATTCCCATTTCCTGTTCCCTTCCTGGTTAGACCTGTGTGCCCATTGTCGGTGCCATAGTTTCAGATCAGCGTATGGTGCAGATTACTGTTGGGCTTGTCTTGATCCCACTTCTGAGACACATCCTCTAAAATTCCATGACTAAAGCTGAGTCTACACGTAGCAAACAAACATTTAGCAGAGAACAATGGGTGTGGGTGAGAACACCTTCACCACCAGACTGTTTCCCAACATTTTGCTCTGTGGTGGTAAAGCGGATTTTTCTCAGCAAGATGAACAGGTTTGCACATTTTTCTGTCTCTAGGAATTTCCACAGGCTGCAAGAAGAAAAAGAACACAAGTGTCACGATACCTAGAAAAAGATGTTCAAGGCTTGCATAAAACCCACTGAGGCTAAAACTGCTGTTTATTGAAGTTATCGGGGGAAAAATGTTCATGCCCCCATTCTATTTGTTCCAACCTCATTTGAACAGTTGAGACAGAACTTGTAATTTTGTGTTTCCAGAACAAGAAGATTTGGAACTTCAAAGAGAAAAATGCCTATAGGGAGAACTGAGGACATGGAGACATCCTACGTTAAGTAGGGTGGAAAGTTACAGTCTGTTGATGGAACTGTCATTCACTCGTGCACTTGAACCCTTCAAGTCATTCATGATGGTGGAAATCAACTTCTTCCGAACTCCTGTTTATGTTGATATTTTTATCTCCTTCCATGGATCACAAATGTTCTGAATGGAATTCATTCATTCACTGCATATGGTCCTGCCATTGCCAGCAGGCAATGGGCCAGGCCACTGGCTGGAGAAGACCCTGTCCCTACCTTGCTGCATAAGCACCTCAGTGAAAAAGCAAGGCAGACACACCAGGAACATCACAACCATATGGCAGGTGCTCAGACAGAGGTATCAGGCCATGGTAGCACCAAGGAGTCACTGCCTCTAGGCCCTGTCAGAGTTGGGGACAGTGGACCCCAGCGTTAAAGGAAGATGGTGACAGGAGATCAGCGTTGCAGGCAAGTAAGCATAGCATCCACATCAGCCCAGAGGCATGGACACAGGTGGCACATCTGGTGAACATCGCTGCAGAGGGGAGACGGGAGGCTGTCCGGGCAAGTTGGGGCCAGGCTGAGAAAGGCCTTCCATTTGACCCATTTTTTTCTGCTGACTTTTTTCTTTTCATAGGAACGATCACCAAATATTTGTCATACATCATTTTCCTTCATTTTCTCAATAGCCCCCCTTTACCAATGAATACACTGAAGTTCCAAAAGCTAAAGTAATTCCAAAGAGGGATGCACCCATCACCGCTTGTCAATGACTGAGTGGTTGTGGCTGGGGAAGCCAGGATGGGAGGATGGGACCAGAAGGACAAAAGCAGCTTTAACTGCATCAGTAACATTTCATTTCTTAAGCTGGGTATGGGTACATGGATGCTCTTTGTGCCTTTTTGTTTGTGTGAAATTTTCATAATGATTCTTCAAGCCACTGGAGTTGTGCATTAGGGTAGCATCTTTGCTTGAAAGGAGGCAGTGTCTGAGGCTGAGGGTCCCTTGAGAACACAGGGGCTGCCCTTAGTGTCCAAATGCTTTATGGGTTTTTCACTGTGGTCAGAGGTAAGTCACTATTTATTCCAGCTAGTTGAGGCCTCAGAGCTGATACTTCTACAGAAAAGGCAAGACAGACAGGTTTGACCCTCCTGGTTCCCTTGGGCGGAACTGAAAGTTTCCCATCTAGGGGCTTATGAGCAGAGAGGAAGGGGTCTCAGCTCCACAGCTGTCCTCAGTTACCGCTTCTACACGGCTTGACTGCCTGTGCTCCAAGTTCCTTTTCAAGCGCATTTCCCTTTAGTTAACACTGTTTGCTTCCTCTGCCAGAGCATCCTGCCCCGTCCAGCGTAGCCCAGAGAAGGAGACCCAGCCCCCTGCCTTCCTGGCATGCAGAGCTTAAAACAAGAGCTCTTTGCCATCAGACATCCTTACCACTTCCAGCTATTGAGTGTAATCAGGTGTGCCAGGATCTGATTTCAAAGCCAAGAGCAAAGGGACATGGAGGAATCCTCTCTCTCAGTTGCGCCAGTGGAAGACAAAGGGGTCTGAACAAACAGGATGCACTGAGAGCTGTGGAGAGCACTGCCCAGCAAGTGGGGCGGGCGGGATGCAGGGTGGGAATAGTTGGCCTGTAAGCCTGGGCGTTGGCATGTGATGCAGTCGTGCCCAAGAGAAGCAAGGCAGGGCATGAACAGATGCTGATTCATCTGACAGCCTATCTGGAAGGTTCCTGATAGACAGTCATGCTCTTCCACGGCCCAGAGAGTCATATAATCCCCACCCGACTAGAAGAACCCAACTCTGGCTGTTCACCTTGCAGAGAATGCTGACATTTCTAGAAATCAGAGAAAACCCACTATGCCTTGTAGGGCAGATGAGTAGTACTAAGGAATCTGCAAGCAAGTCAGAACTGATGCATTGTAAAGGTGGAGAAGACCCACTAGTTGCACCCCAATGTCTGGGTCTTGGTAGATCCATTTATTTCTGTCCCTGTTTCCATCTCTTATCCCATACTCTGCTTGCTGGGCTTGGGAACTTACATCTAGTAAACTCTCCTGATCATTAACTGGATAAAAAGTTGAAAGTCATTCCAGAGAACAGTATCCTTATTGGAAGGCTATAAGCCGAGGGAAAATTTCAGTATTTCCTTTCTGCTTCCCATTGCCCCCATTTTTATACGGCAGGAATCAGAGATGAAAACAAATGTTGTATCACACCCAACTTGAAGGCAAACAAAGATCATCAAAGGCAACAAGACTAGGAAGCAGCTTACAGTGGGAAGGGGGTGCCCATCTAGACTGACCCCTCACTGATTGTGAAATTCAGTGGTGTTTGCCCCAGTTCACCTTCTTTCAGAGATAGCCTTGCTGGTGCTTTTAACCAGGAGGGCTTGGAGTATTGGCCACAGGCACCTCTGGCTGTTACAGTGCCTGGGGTGAATGCTGGCATTTTCTGGATGAGGCTAGAAGTGCAAATGTCCTCCAGTACATAGGACAGTCTTACACAACCGAAGAACTACCCAATCTTTTTCTAATAGAGCAGTACTGATGAAATTGGTCATTTCTTTTCTTTTCTTTTTTGAGATGGAGTCTCACTCTGTTGCCCAGGCTGGAATCCAATGGCGTGTGACCTTGGCTCACTACAACCTCCACCTCCCAGGCTCAAGGGATATTCCTTCCTCAGTCTCCCAAGTAGCTGGGATTACTGGCACGTGCCACCATGCCCAGATAATTTTTTTTTTTTTTGTATTTTTAGTAGAGACAGGGGTTTTACCATGTTGGCCAGGCTGTTCTCAAACTCCTGACTTCAAGTGATCTGCCTGCCTCAGCCTCTCATAGGGCTGGGATTACAGGTGTGAGCCACTGCGCCCAGCCGGAATTGGTCATTTCTGACACTCAGATGAACCCTGAGCTCCTCCAACCTGGAGCTTTTGAACTTTCCTATAGCGAGTCTCTGAAAAGAATCCAATTCTAAAGGCCACTGTTGGTTCTAGATGAAATAAAAAGCACACAGAAAATGAAAACCTGCCTGACATCTATAGTTCATCAATTGCCTTTAAAGGAAACTCTTACACAAACTCAGAAATTCCCAAGAGAAATTCTAACCTGGCATAAAGCATTGAGAGATTTATGGAGATGCTTTCTTCCAGGGATAGACTTCTGAGAGCCGGAGACTTGGAGGCTGCCCCTTGGCTTCTATAAAATAGGTCTGGCACATACATTAGGTTGTTTTGTCCCTATACAGTGTAAATAGCTGGCAAGTGACACTTCAGCAATTGCTAAAAAATAAAATCCCAGCTACTCGTGGGTTTATGGAAAGCACACCATGTGCAAGTTGCAAATGATTTCTATCTATGTAAAATGGCAACATGATTGTGGCTCTTCTGTAGCATGATCGGGGTGGAAGCTGAGTATGAGGTCCTTGGAGGCATTCTAACTACATGAAGTTGACTAACTAGGGCTGTTTTTTTTTTTTTTTCTTGGAGTAGGCAGGGGGAAACCAGCAGATACCATCCAGATTTTTCTTAAAAGGAGAGACTTGATGAATCCATCATTGTACTCATAAGCCAATGCCTTTCACAAAGAATTTGAATTCTAGGGAGATTTTGAGCACAAAGCTGCAATGTCTTTGAGAACTTGATTTATGATGCAAGATGAACTGCTGTTAACTCTGGGGTCATTCACCCAGTGGGGATGAGAAGGGCAGCCCCATTAATCAAAAGGTAGCAGGAGACCCCTCCAGGTGAGCCAAATGCACAAAGGGAGGAAGTGAGTCCAGGTGGAAAAAGAGACCCCTCCCCTCATCGCTGGTATGGTCGGGAGACAGCTCTGCTTCAGGGAAGCTCGGAGGGATGGTCTAATGCACATTCTCGCAAAGAATCAGAGAGGCTGCAGCTTGTCTGAGAAGAATTTACATCCTGGCTCCAATTCTCACGAGCTGTATGGCATTAAGCAAGCTACCTAAATCTGAACCTTGGGCCCTTCCAAGATGGCGATAATAGTACCTGCCTCAGAGGGTTGTTAGGAAAATAAGCAAGCATTTACTGAGTACCTAATACACGCCAGACTTGGTATGAGGTACTGGGGAGACGGTGGTAGAAGAGCTGACCGTTCCATGGAAGCACTTCTATAGTGCACTAGGCACAGACACTGCCTATCATTTGTAGCTACTCAACAAATGTTACTTCCCTTCTCCTTATAATCTGTACCACTGGGCACCTGCTGTGAGCTATTGTGTAGGCCCTTGGACCTGGCATCAAGTAGCAATTTGTAGCTTTACAACTGGTTTCACACATGAGAACAAATGTCAGCGGTTTTTGCACTTGCTCATGGAGAGACAGCAGGAGCGGTTTCGAGCTCACAAATCCCTTCAGTTGTAGCAGCCCTCCTTTAATTGATGTTATATCCTCGACTTCTTAGAAAGATCCAACCTATTTATTGATGGACATTAATACACCTGACACTGCTCTAGGTGCTTAAGAAAAAACTCAATGAATAAATCAAAGCTGCCTGCCCTGCAGAGCTTATATGGTAGCAGAAAAGACACAGAATGAAGGGTAAACATTGTGAGCTGTTGATTATTTATTACCTTGTATGGAGATAAGTGCTTTGGGAAAATATAAGTAGAGCAGGATGGGGGTAAGCAGAGCAGGCTGCAATTTTAATTAAGTGGGGTAAGTCTCACAGAGAAGGTGATATTTCAGCAAAAACTTAAATGTGAGGGGGTTACCCACTATGTGAAGAAAGGAGGGGAGGGAGTCAGCTATGGTAC